TACCCAAAACTTAATATTGAAATCACTTCCATTTCTTTACTAATATTGGTGCTGACACAAAAATGTTTCTCATGGAAATGGGAATGTTATATCAATGAATTTTCACAGAGTTCCTCATGACAACTGTGATCACAAAGAAGAAATCCCTAAACTAAGTTCAAAACTTACATTTAATTATTATTGGACATTATATTTGGTATCTTTTAATCCATTTCAAACATGCAACAAATGCTTAGTTATTCCATATACTGTATCTTTCTTATGTTGACCACAGAGGAAAAACTTGTTGGAGACTAGGCATGGTTTATACGTGCAGATAAAATCATCTTTTCTGTAGCTGGGCATATAAGAATAAATAAAGAGGTTTAAAATAAAAAGAAAACTGGAAGATTTATATTACCCGTAAAAATAAAGGAAAGGGCAAGTAATGGGAAAAAAATATAGATATCTTGCTGATCTTAAATATAATATTTCCTTTAAAACACCCACATGTAAGATACTTTAATCCCATGTGATCTTCAGCAAAATAACACATAGCTCTCAAAAACACTGTGCACTAGTGATAAAGTAAATAAATACGTACTCCAGATTTGGCATATAACAGACAGCTTGATTGGCTGCAATAGTCCAGGGCTGGGTGGTCCAGACTATCAAACTCACTGCAGGTAATCCATCTAGTGGTGGAATCATATTTAGCATGTGGTTTATCGTAAGTACATTAGAAGCACATTTAAACAATATGAATTCAGAACATAAATAAAACATACCTACTGCAGAGGCTACTTTGGGAGGAGGTTTCAGCAAGGGAAATCTGATATAAGCAGCTTGACTAGTATGTTGCTGGTTGTATTCAAGTTCTGCTTCAGCCAAAGCTGTACTGCATGAAGAATCAGAATGAATTGTATTTTAATGCAAAGCTCTTCCATCCCCAAAGGTAAGGATAAAAAGTATGTTAATATCTTACTTTGTTGAAGGAGACCAAAACACTGGCTTATAGTCTTGATAAATAAAACCCTAGGAAATAAACAAAATTAAGAAATCAAAACAATTTGGTCTTTTATGTAATGTAAATATCCCTTGACCATATATTAACCTACCTTTTCATACATTTGGTGGAAAACACTCAACTGTTTTGCTTCATACTTTGGATCAAATGTATAGTAGCAGTTCTCCCAATCTGCCATTACGCCCCAGCGCATAAATGCCGATTTCTGTTTCTCAATTATCTTTTCTGCAAATGCTTTGGCTGAAGAAAGAATAGTCATTTTTAATATGAATTCGCCCAATATTAGGTGAAGTTGAAAACAAGGATGAATTAAAGCACAATCAGAAGCCAATTATTTTTCTTTAGTTATTTTGGACAGACAGACATAAAGATAGCAGTTGAATTTGACTTCCTGACAAATTCCTGCAGTTTTTTTGGTAAGATTTTTGGGAAGTGGTTTGCCATTGCTTTCTTCCTAGGATTGAGAGGGAGTAACTGGCTCAAGGTCATTCAGATGGCTTCATGCATAAGGATAGTCAATAGTAATGCATACCAAGAGTGGTACTTCAACAACATTTGAAAATCATTCTTTGCCTATTGGTGTTTTTAATTATGTATCTCATCTTAGAAGGTACCTTTCAAATATTTGAAAATAGAACAATGTTGCTGTTCTCCAAAACATGTCTGTCATGGAATAACATTCAGACCTCAGTAAAAGTGTTTATCAAAGGAAAGATACCTTTCTTTCTGATTTCCATTGGTGTAAGATGTTTTATTTTTTCACATTCTGATAATGCTTTCAACTCAATGGGTAACCCATGGCAATCCCATCCAGGGACATAGTGCACTTTATAGCCATTCATGACATGGAACCGATTTGTGATGTCTTTCAAAATCTGAAAAGAGAGGAAAGAGAAATAAATTGTTATTCAAATTCATACTTCCATCTTGCTATAATTTTCTTGAATTCTACAATATTTATACTGCAGTTAGATCCAGCAAGCTATACCCTAACAAATTGTTTTGTATTTATTTCTACTCCGAAAGGTACCTTCTAATATACCATGTTTCTCATATAATAAGGCCGGGTCTTATTTTTTTTGAGCCCTGAAAAAATGGCTAGGCCGTCTTTTCAGGGGTGACTTAATTCCCCCCCTTGCATCTTCGGGCGGGCGGTGATGGCTTGGATGTTGACCTCAGTGTTGGTGGGGCACTTCATATCGGGGTCAACGCAGGCAGCACCAAAAGTACTTCCTAACGGCAAGCCCTTATCTCCTTTCATGCCTATAAAACATGCTGGGACCATTCCCCCCCATTTCACATGTTTTAATATAGGCCTTAATATGGGGGGAGGGGCTTAATTTCATTTCATGCCTATAAAACATGCTGGGACTTCCGATTGGGGGAGGCCGTATTGTTGGAGAAACAGGGTATGTATTAACAATGCTTAAGTAAAATTACAGATAATTTCCGCACAAATAACTTATACCCATAAAATCCATAAAAGCAAACAATATTAAGTCTTTAGATAGGCCATCTAGAATGTTTTGTAATGAAGCAGGCCAGTATTCGGCACCTCTCAGTACTCTCATATACCACTGTTGCATGAGCTGCAGTAGGCTTCTGGACCCAATTTAAGGTGATGGTATTTACCAATGAAGTCCTTAAATGGCATAAGACATCTCCCTCCCCCCAGGGAGATGGACATGCTCTGTGTCCCTTATATCGAACAGAGCCATTTAGTTAGACTTGGGGTCATGTTATCTCTGTGGCTATGGATGGTGCTGACCTTTTTAACCTTGAAAACTATACTGTTCCCCCAGGTACCTGGGCCAGGAAGTTAGATAAGCTCCATTGGTGACAAGACTTTTTATTTTGATGGTTACAGCTTTAAATGGAGCTCTTAGGATTATATGATTATGATGGTTTTAATTTTGGTTATAATTCAGAGTCACTACTATGAGATGGTTTTATATATGGCTTAAACAAATACATAAATCAATTAATTTAGGAAAACAATACCCACTTTATTCAAAGCATGGCCAACATGTGGGTCTCCATTGGCATAAGGTGGTCCGTCATGAAGACAAAATTCTTGCTTTGTTTTCCTTTGTCTTTGCCAAGAATAAAGTTCTGAAAAGCCACATTTCTGAAGAAAAATACACTAGAATTAATATTATAAATCTTGCATAATGAATTATTTTTGAAGAGGACAATATATTTCATCTACAGGTCTTCCCAAAGAATTTCCACCATCTTTAGTATGCTCTGTCAATGTATCTGGAAGTCTCTGAGAGTGTTTTACAATATTAGAGTCCTCCAAACATACCTGTGGTGATCAATTCTTAAATTGCAAGCTAACAGACATGGAACCAAGTATATTAATAATGAGACAACAAAAGTAAACAAGCAAAGCTCAATTTAAACAATTATTCTTCTATCCTAAAAATTCACCCTATGAGCTGAGGAAACTATTTTTTAGCCATTCTAGTCAAACAAGACTTTTTCAGGAATCACTCTGTACATTAAACACTGACCAATATAACCTGTGTTATACAGAACTGATGTCTGCATAATGACAACACAGACATATAAATACAAGCAATATTGATGACACACAATTTTCATCAGTTTCATAGTACCCAAATTCTTGTGTAACTGTCAGTTATTGTTTAAAAAAATCTTATCTCCTTTCAGTAAATCTTCTTTTTAGAGATATCCAGAGAAAATGAATTATCATTAAACTAATACAAGTCCATAGCGTAGCTGTACAATTATATTGCTTGGAGGGAAAAGTGATGAAATTGTTATACATATATTTCAATTAGAATGGAGTCTCTTCACTGAGTTGGGCTACCACATCAGGACTGGAAAATGGCAATAACAAATTAAAATTCTTTCATTATTCTCTAGTGATGAATTTTTGCAGTCCAGATATGGCAACTCTAAAATTGGGCTTCAATTTCTTGAATTTCTATTCTGGTTAGATAGCGAATAGGTTGCGGCACAGATTGGACTTATATGTATTATCGCACTTATAACCCGCCTTTATTTTGTAAAGTCCAAGCAGTGCATGTGATACTGCTGCTTCCTCTTTTTCCCATCACTGCAAACCTTTCTGGGATGAGATTGAGACCACAGACCAAAGTCACCCAGGCAGCCTTCATGCCTAAGGAAGGACTAACAAATCTCTGGTTCTGTACCCAGCTCCACCCAGCTAAACTTGACCTTACTGCCTTCCCCAATTATTTACCAACAGGTGACACACATGGAGTGTGGTCTGAGTAAACTTGCAGAACCACGAAGCTAGTTAGGCAACCTTTTTCCTTCCTGCAGGGCCCGACCAAATTCTGAGATGGGTGCTTTTAATGGTGTTTTGAAACGTAAATAACACCAACGGGATAACACCAATGGTCTACCTAGAAGACAGCTCGGAGCCTAAGGTAAAGCCAGCGCATCCTTTCAGCGCATCCCTTATTCTGCGGGTTGCAAAGGTTTCCCCACAGAGAAGCGTACATTTTACGAAAGGTGCAACTCTCAGGTCTATCTCGGCGGCGGCTTTTCAGCACTTCTCCCCCTAATTCATTTTCTTCCTCTACCTGCTGTATCTCCAATTCAGTTTCGGGCTGCAACCGGCCGGGCAACTGGCTGGGGAAATCGCTTTGAGGCAATAAAACCGTTTCACGGTATTTGGAGTCCGGCTTCGCCTTTTGGCCCGTGCTGGGTCCTGCGGACACCGTCCCGCGAGCCCAACAGCCGACATGCTTGGGAAACCTCAGCAACGGCGGGGCCCGCAGCAACCACATCTCGCGCACTTGGTCCGCGGGCACTTCCGGAAACGTTACGGGGAGCAACAAGATAAAATGTCCTTCCCGGTTCTTTTCCGGCTCCGATGGGATTCTTAGCGCCCCCTGGAGTTCGGTCCTCCTCCCTTCGTTTACCGGGGGAGTCTCGCCAGCGTCAGAGCTGGGTCTGCGTGTCCCGAACCCCGGTATCAGTTCAGCTTCGCAGCCCAGAAAAGTGTGCAAATTGCATAAATGAGTCTTCACTGTGCATGACGTAGGAACGGAGCCCCTGGGGGCATACATGTAAACGTTACTGGTCACGTAAGAGCGCTGGGATAATGGCAATGAGGACCCGGTAAAGGACCCGATGGGTGGGGCGGAGAAAGAATAGGAAATCAGCACGGAGTAATCTGAGCGCGAGCAATCTTGCGAGTGTTTTGTAAGAGAGGGGCTGCTCGAAGAGGAGGTAGGCTGCCATTTACATTTTTCTCTTATCCTTTTCGGATTATTTGCTTCCAGATATTCATCGATAGAAATCTTGATAGAAGTGGTTGGTGAAATAACGCTTTTCTTTCAATCCCATCGTGGCAATGTCCTCGAATTAGGAAGACATCTACAGTCACTAAGTTAGAGGACAGGAAGGCTGGAGTTATTCTAGTGGTGTGGTCAAGATCATATTGCGTTCCTTTGAGAGACTAGATGTGGCACAGGTGCTGTTTCTTACATATATCACCGTTACTATAATGAATTAGAAGTTAGAAAACAAATATGAGCGGTGTGGACAAGTAGTTCCTGGTGCAATCTTATTAATGCCTCTCCAGAAAGTTTTCAGTGAAGTGGATGTTTTAAATATATTGTTTTGGTTACACTTTTACAATTTTATTTTAAAATGTTCCTGTGTTAACTCAGGAGATTTTGCTTTGAAAGATGGGGTAAAACCATTTTAAATAAAATTTTGTGCAAATCCTCACCAAGATTTTCACCAAATAAAGAAGCACTGTGGTACTTCATAAATGATATTTTTGGTCTCTGTGATCATTGAGTGCACTGTAAGATTCAACAGTATAATTGCTAAAAATAAAGTTGGCCATTTCCCATAATATGAGGTTGTGGGGGGAAAGCTCTGCTGCGCATCCTAAAATCAGCCTAAAATAGTTTTTATAAGCATCATTTAAAAGATGAAACACAAGAATAAATATGTTCATGTGTGTAAGGCTGCCATTCATTTTATGTCACGGTTTAGCTCAGGTGCGGTGTTTCAAAAATGGATCTTCAGTGTTCATCATGTACTTGTTATGATAAAGGAATATTGAAGGCAATGCAATCCAAATTTCTTTAAAATGGGCAGGACCAGTGCCAGGGCTAATAAGAATATGGGCTTCAAGTTCCACTGCTTGGAATGTTAAATTACCCTTTTTGTAAATGGGTAGTTTCTTAGTTTTTGTTTAAAAGCTAAAGAAACATGCACTTCATAGGAGAAGAAGGAGCAAACTAGATATAGTTCAGATTATGTAAAGTGTCTACATATAATTTACAAGGAAGTGGTGAATTGGAAAATAAATTCTGCTTTAAACCAGAAAAGCTTGTTGTGAAATGTTAAACGGATAACCAATACTGCTGGGAATAAAAAGCAAGCAGACGAAGTGAAGTATTTCAGCTTGTTTCCCAATGTAATCATTTAACAAATTGAATGTAGTTTAAAGGTTGCTAGCTCTCAGATTCCCTTCTCTGTTAATGTGAGACTGAAGTTAGGATTTTTTTTTATGTTGCATAATTCACAGTGAGGAAAGAGGATTACTTATGTGATAATTGTCAATATTTATTAACTCCTTTACATGTCCACAGCTAAGTTGCCAATTTGTCATACTAATGAAATCTGAGTTTTCTCAATGTTTGAAGAAGGACATATATTACTACTGAAACTTATAGAGCATTGTTTACTTATTCTTGGGCTTGGCATGCTTTCAACTAGAATAGCTGAAACTACAAAAAAGATTGGCTTAGTGCAATACATGAACCAGAACCTCCCAATTTTCAAAGAAGCCCTAAAGGGAGTTAGACTGGAAATATAGTACAGGTTTACTTCTGATCCCCATCAACATGAGGCTGTCAGGATGAAGAGAACTTGGCCACAATACCTGGTTTATGTTTGCAATTTTATGTGAGAAGAAAGTCAATAACAAATCTTCATCTGCATATGGATCTTCTTTGGAGTTGCAGTTTCAAACTATGTATGAATATTAGTTATAATAAAAACAGTATATAAGGCTAAGGAAATAAGAATATGGACAGTTGCATGGAAGCTTATGTCATTTTTGGGGGTTCCTCAAAATCCTGAGTTCACGTAACACATAAACCATAATGTGATTTGTTTGAGTTAGTGTATCTAACCATTGTTTATTTTGTGTGAGCCCAGAAAATTGTGGCTTACTCAAATAAGTTTGGCTAAGCAGATCATGACTCAGCGAAATACTGTATATAAATCCAAACTGTATTGCTGCATACCTCACTGACCAATCATTCAGTGACTATTCAAAGTTACATCTGCTCTTTTTTACTTGTACTTTACATCTGCTCTTCTTTACTTATATCTTACTATAGACCTTAGCAGATGACTGAGTCTGTGTAATAGAAAACTGGAGGTCTGAAATTTTCTGGAAGCCCTCAGGATTTTCACAACATGGCTGTGTCTTTCTTTAGGGTGGCAACTTGGTAGTTCCTGCTGCGACCCTCTATCTTTCAGAGGTGTCCTGGGTGACATATCCTCAGTATCCTAGCTGTATGAGATAGGGATAAGCTGTGAGATATAAGCTGTGCTGCCTTTTTGGCAATGAAAAATAGAAATGCAAAAAGGAAAATAATTTCAATAGTCCAGCCTTCTTGCCATGTACTGAAGACGTGTGACCAAATGATTTGGCCCTTCCCTGTTTGGAAAATAGAGCAGTCTCATTGGAGAGTCAAAATCACACTTCCTTTAAAAAGAAAAGCTTGTAAAAAATCTCATTTTGTCTTTACATTTTTGATGCAAACATTGATAACAGTTAAATTATACAATTGACCAGGCCGTGATTAACCACTTTGTTACAGAAGAAAATCCAGCTGAAAACAAAAGGCTTCAAGCAGATCACCAGGTAGTACTGGTCTGCTACAAATGAATACTTTCAGTCAGTATCATGAAACAGGTCCTGCAAAAAGATTCCAATTTATTATTACATATTATTACATAGCATTGGCAGAAAGTAAAAATATTCAGTCTGAAGAATGGATGCAGGTTGGGATTTAAACAGAGGTGGTATTCGGCAGGTTCTGACCAGTTCTGGAGAACCGGTAGTGGAATTTTTGAATAGTTCAGAGAACCGGCAAATACCACCTCTGATTGGAGTTTTTACAGTATCCTACCCCTGCCACACCCATCAAGCCACGCCCACAGAACCGGTAGTAAAAAAAAAATGAATCGCACCACTGGATTTAAACATCCAGTTATATTGGTGGTGCAGTGGTTAGAATGCAGTATTTTAGGCTAACTCTGCACACAATCAGGAGTTTGATTCTCACTGGCTCAAGGTTGACTCAGCTTTCCATCCTTCTGAGGTTGGTAAAACAAGGACCCAGATTGTTGGGGAAAATATAGTGACATTTGTAGACCGTTCAGAGAATGCTGTAAAGCACAATGTGTGGTATATAAGTCTAAGAGGTATTGCTATATTTTATATAGAGAAGGTGACATAATTACTTTAACACAGCACAAAGAAGCAGGTGTTAAATCCTAACACAAATTCTTTATGAGACTTTAACCCTTCAGAAATAATGCTATCTGAAGCATCTGTTTCTCTGCTTCACTTTTCCTGACATTCCTAGCTTTTTGGAAACTCCAAATCATGGAACTTCAAACCTCAGAAAACCCCAAACTTTGGAAACTCCAAACTTTGAGGGAACAATATTAAACTCCACTTTTCCAGCCTTGCTTTAGCAAACGTGGTAGTTTTGCCCTTTGCCTTGAAAAATCAGATTGTTCTTTTTTCATAAGAGGAAGGAGCATTATCCCTTCTGTATGTGACAGAGAAAAATCTCCATTTCATGAAGATGTGGATTGGTATTGTCCCTCCAAGGTAGACCATATTAAGAAATCTTGGTAACAACAGCTCTTCCTCTTGTCCTTCAAGGCCACTGCCTATGCCCTCTACATTTGGAAATGTCTGAGCCAGCTGTTTAAAGCTGGAAAGCAGGCTATTAAATTCCTAGCAGGTTTCTTTTTGAAAGAAGGAGATATAATTAAAATATTTGTAATAACTATAATGTATATTTTGACTTCATAACTACATGGGCATTTCTACTGCTAAAAACTATTTCTAATGAAAAAGATTATTTAATCTGTTCCAGTGTAAGTCAGGCCTCAAAGGTATTTTCATAAGAAAATTATGAAATTATGAAATTACTTACAAGATTGCCTTTGTTTTCTTTTCTTTTTTATGTAGTAATCATGGCTTCTAATCCAAGTGTATTGATGCGTCTTGTGGCCTCAGCATATTCCGTGGCTAATAAAGCGGGAACTATTGTCAGAAAAGTTATGTCTGGAGGAGAACTAGACATAGTGGAGAAGGTAAGTGATCAATAGAATCCTATATGTTTCTAGTTGGAACTTATATATCTAAATAAAGAAGAATTAATGTTGGTATAATGTGCGGAACAAATTTTGTGTGCGTCTGTGCTCAAAAGTAAGTCTTCTTGTGTTTAGTAGGGCTTGCTCAGTAATACGAGTTTTTAGCATTGTAGCCTCATTTATTTTAGATGTACACGCAAATAATTTGGTGAGGCAATTCACCTGCAAGCAAATCACCCTCCTGGATTCACTCTTTAAAATAGTGATTGCTCAAAGTGTCAATACAACTCATTCTTTGCATGCCCAGACAACATCTGTTAGAATGGCCATTAAAAAGGCTCATCATATATTTTATAATTCTATCATCAATATTAGCCATTTGGAGACATCTCATTTGCTGACATGCTATATAGTTTTATATAAAGTTATATAGCTCTTAAAATAATCTATAACATTGTTATTTTCTGCCTGTTTCCCCAGTTTCTTGCTTTGAATAGTCTTGATGACAGTGGAGAAAAATGACTAAACTTTCTTGCTTTTCAAGGATCTTAAAATATTTAATGACTGGTATTAGGGCCAGGAAATGTGTGGATCTCCATTTACTGAAGTACAATTCCAGCAGCCTTAGCCAGCCTGGCTACTACTGAGAGATGCTGAAAGTTGTACAGAAATATCTAGAGAATCACAGTTTTCTCATACAAAAAAGCAAAAATAATTGGTCCATATTTCTAATATTTTATTTCTTTTGCTCAAGGCTTGTTTTCTATATCCTTATCTTCATTCTCACAATGTCTGGGAAGATACTGGTTGACTTAATGTTACTCAGTCAGAATCAAAATGAGGACTTGATCTTTGGTTTCTCCAGTCACATTCCAACATTCTAATATTATATATAGTATATTATGTAATTATACTTCATATATTGTATATACAATATATAAAATGTATAATATACTATATTGTAGGTAGCAATGGTAGCAAACGTATGGCATGCATGCCACCTCTGTGGCTGTCTCTGTGGGCATGGGTGCCGTCGCCTCTGCTCATCTCCACCGCGTTTCTCCATGGCGTTTCTCTCCATTGTTTGCAGGGAAACTTCTGTTTGACAAAATGACGAAACAGAAGCTCACAAAAGAAAAAGATCTCACCTCTTGCAGAGCTGCCGGTGTTGGGATGCCCTGCCTCCCACTGGCCAGCTGGTCTTCAGGTGTCAGCTGTGCATGTATACATGCCTCCCACCGGCCAGCTGGTTTTTGGGTCTCTGCCGCGCTTGCGCAGGCACACATATGCACCTGCACACCTTGCAGTTTGGGCACTCGGTGCCTAAAAGGTTCGCCATCACTGGTATATAGTATGTATCTTTAAAGAGCTAATGACCTGATTCTTACACTATGTTCAAATACCTTCAATAAATATGATTTTACATAAAACCATATAAATGTTCAGTTTTTTAAAATGGCATTTGCAAATAAGAACAATACATACACTTAAAAACATACACAACCCCTAGGATTTTCTCAAATACACGTTGCAAAAAGCATTTCCAGTAATTTTACATTTTCCTAATGATAACACAATTTGATTTAGCCAAGTTGTTATTTTGATTATAAATTGACCAAGTTTCTTTTTTAATAGTGTGGAGCTAATGACCTGCAGACTAAAGCTGATCGATTGGTACAGATGAGCATTTGTTCGTCCTTGCTTCTGAAGTTTCCTAAGGTGACAATCATAGGTGAAGAGGTGAGGAATCAGCATTTTCTTTAGTACTTGTTTGATTTGATACATTATCTTTATCCTTTGTTAAAAACAAAACCCCAACCACTACCAACCAGTGAGATATTTCCCGTTGATAATCTGCACTGCAGTCTCTCCCTATGATCATGACTCTGCTGCTTTATGCATTTGTATGTAAGTTGCATTCAAATACTGTAATAAGAACTCTAAGCTATTATTATGGGGATTATAAGACTAAAACAGATATCATGACAACAGTAGCTATATGTAATATTGTTTACTTAGAAATTTTAAAAAAATTCCAACTATCATGGAATTCATTTGTTTGTTTATTCAAACATTTCTATAATTGCCTATCTCACAGCAATGACTCTGGGTAGTATGCAAAAATTAAAACCATTATAACATATACATATCATCCTCAATTAATGATAGCAGTTGGGAGTGGAATTTCCATGTGTAAGTGATATGGTTGTAAAGTCATGAGATTGCATCGCTTAGCGATGGCAGTCCTGGCACTTCCTGGTTTCCATTGTTAAACAAATCCTATGCTATTAAGTGAGGATGCCGTGTGGTTGCCATTTGCAATCTCCTACCAGTTTTCTGGTTGACTTAGCTTGTAGGAATCTGATAAAGGTCACACAGTCATCAAAAGATTGTGGGATGCCATGATGCTGTAATTGTGAGCCAGGTGTCAAGTATCTTGATCACAACTGTAGGACTGCAGAGTTGCAATGGTCATAACATCAACAACTAGTTGTAAGTACTACTCATTCAATGTCATCCCAAATTGAAATAGTTTGTAAGGTCTTGCCTCTCCAATCTTCCCAAGAAAGCAGGACTCTTGAAACAGAAATGGTCCCAAAAGGAGCTTTTATTGAAAGGCTTGTGATAGCAAGAAGTCTAGGCAGGAACTAAATTTTCCCGCTTAAAACCAGCAATTTAAAGCAGTGCAAACAAAACCCCTCCCACAGTATAGCAATGCAGGAAACAGAAACAAACTTCATATAGAGATCTCTCTAATCCTGCCCCTCCTAAATTCCAAATATAGAAATATATGGGACCTGACACAGTCCTTGAATAAGTAGTCATTAAGGACAGCAGTAAACTGATTTCTTAATAGGTCTTCAGTATAGTCCTTGATCTCAAATGGCTCATAGATTTAACCATTTAAAGCTTTTATTTAGTGGCATCTGAATTGGGGGTCCTACCTAATAAGATTCATCTCTCTTAGTTTGGTCTCCATGCTTTAAACATTACTGAAATTTGTTAGCATTTAGCGTTATTGAAATTTCTCTCTCCTCCTCCATTTTATTTTTCATTACAAACACTTGTATGTGTGCATTTAATAAAGAATGTTACTTATATTTCATTTTCAGCTGTAGCAGTAAGACTTTTGCAACTTACCCCTTGGGTTAACACTGTTTTGCAATCATTGCAACCAAACTATCATAAATTGTAACCTATTCTGCAGCCAATGTTATAGGTCCATCTGCATAGACTTTTGCTGATAATTTTTGGCATATTGCAACACTAAAAAGTCCAGCTTTTAAAAACTTCTCTTTCATTGAATTTAAATGGGCCTCTAGTTAACTAATAAATGAATAAGCATTTTTTACTTTAATTGTGCATAGACTTTTTTTTAAAAAAAAATCAGGATCTTCCCTCTGAAGAAGTCAGTGAAGACTTACTTGAGAAGAGCCAATGTGAGGAGATACTGAAGCAAATCTGTCCACCGCAGTATACTGCTATCAAAGAGGAAGAGGTATTTAAAAAGGTTTTTTTTTAATATAATCCCTGATTTATTTTCCAGACAGTAATAACTGTGGGATGAGAATCAGTAATCACTAATGGGGTGGAATGAATTGTAATTTGATAAGTGATTGACTATTTTTGAGTCCACTGCAGCCTGGCAGCCATTGCAGCCTAGCAATGATTTAGTCTCCACACTTTCCTCTTTTGAAACTTTCTGCTTTTCTTTTGTTTCCTTCAAAGCTTGTTGTATGGGTGGATCCTCTGGATGGAACAAAAGAATATACTGAAGGTTTGTTCTTTGGGTTTTTTTTTTTTTTGGTGAGCGGTATTTAGCATTTATAGACTTAATGACAAAACCACAATTGTCTGGCTTCTAGATTAATACCTATTATTTATGTGTGACCATATGTTATATAGAATTTGCGGTCACCCTTTAGAAGTTTAGAAGTAAAATAAAATGTATAATTATTTAGTTCTTCTACTTCTATTACTGAAACAGGCACAAATCAGGTTTTTTCTCCCTTGTCATTTATAATTGCTATTTTCATTCCTTCTGTGGGCTTTTTTAAAAAAGCTATATGGGGATCCAGAAAACTGAAAAAACATCACTAAGATACTTGCAAATTACTTCTTAATCTAACAATAGATACAACTGGGATTGTATGACATTGTATTATGGCCAGGTCAGAAGTCATGAAATGTTCCATGGATTTGATCCCAGAGAGTAGTGAATCGGAAAATACCGTGTTAAGGGAAGGCAGGTATGGGTTCTGCTTTATTGTTTAATGAAATGGAAGAAAAATGACCTTGAATAATAAAATGCAGCAAGTTTCTGTACTATAACATGCAAACTTTAATGAAACTTTGTTTTGGTTTTTAGCTTTGTGTATTGACTGATGTTTAGCATAATGTAAACCTAACCAGTTGTGGCTTATTTAACAAACATACTTAAGCAACTCAGTGTATAAACATGATAAAATAGAAACAGTCACCGAAATCATAAAGTACTGAGTAAGTGAAATGTAAAAAGAATTAGAACCACCTTGATTTTCATTTCCATTGACAGATGTTTATCTCTTTCAGGACTTCTTGACCACGTAACAGTTCTTATTGGTATTGCTTACCAAGGAAAAGCTATTGCAGGTGTCATTAATCAACCATATTACAACTATGAGGTAGGAAATGCTTTAATTTCCAAAACATTTTCTCCATTTAATTTAAACAGTTAATGATGTTCTTTTAACTGCATATCACTTCCAATTAACTAGAATAATGGGCTTAACTGTCTTGTTACTTAGGAGGAATGGCCCTTTTTCTGTTTAAAGTGCCCTAGTTAAAAGGATGTACACCCATGGCAGATTTAGGACTAGCATAAATCCAAATTTCAGGCTGCATGTACTCTAGGAGATGACCAGGCTGAGCCCTAGGGATGGGTCAGTCTCGAGTCCCTTCACACTCCCAAGAGATCTAAGTCCAGCCAACCTTGAATTCTGTTGACTCTTATTTGCCGCCAATTTGCTTTGACCATTAGTAGTTCAGATTCTTGTAAAGAATATTAGCTTACAATAAACCTATATTCATTTGAACTGCCTGGACTCCTGATTTCCTGTGCTTGACATATACTATATTTTTGGCATTCAGCACAATAATCCTTTAATGTTCTCAGTGGCTTCAACAAAGGAAAATGACATATAGCTGCAAAAATCAGTAATTACAAAATTATAATATATGTTGAATTTTGCTAAGGTGAGGTCTGAAGTCATTAAACTTTCTGAAAAGTTTGCAGAAATAAGCTAAGGTTGATGAAGTATCTCCCTATCCTGATTACTCTACATTTTAAACATCTGTGGGTATGCCTTCTCTTCTTATTTAATTTCTATATATTTGAGAATGTCCCTTATGTACATTGTCTATCGTGGTGGCTGTACTTATGACAAAATGAAAATAATGCAGAAGAAACACACTGGTAATTGAAGCAGTAAAGCTGAAAATACACTGAATAACAAAAAACATCTCTCGCAAATGAAGGTGAAAGATATCACAGAATAATGTTGCAGGATCAAATTTGAGTCAGTACTGGAGCCCATTCTCAGGGAGCTTTTCATATATTCTGGAGAGTGAGAAGTTCCCTGAGGATGGGCTCCACAAGAATGTGAATTTTGGAAGAAGAAACATCTGGTTCCAGTGACCAACTCAGATTCGATCTTGCAACAAAAAGTATAGATGAAGCTCTTCGGTTAGATAATGGCAGACTAAAGTTGTATATACTTGCGTAACAGTAAGTCTTATGCTTTCAGCAGCAGAACTAGTTTTTGTCTGAAAGAAAGAAATGTATCTTTGCAAATAACATATATTTAAATGGTTCGTATTAAATTTGCTGATAATGTAATGGAGCAGATTAGTTTTATCTAATCTTCGTGGAGGATGGAATTTGCTAAATTTAGGGTCATTATTCTTTTACATAAATATAGTATGTCCAGTTATCATATATATTTACTCCTTTTGTTTATTTTTGAAAATGAAACTAAGAATGTTCAAATCTTTTTTCAGGCAGGTGCAGATGCAGTTCTAGGCAGGACAATATGGGGAATCCTTGGTTTGGGCGCCTTTGGATTTCAGTTGAAAGAGGTACCAGCTGGGCAGCACATCATTACCACCACAAGATCACACAGCAGCAAGATGGTAAATGACTGCATTAGTGCAATGAAGCCTGATAGTGTGGTGAGAGTTGGAGGTGCTGGTAATAAGGTATGGACATCCCTAAATTTTAATGCCATGATAATAGAGTTAATTTTTTAAAAGTACAAGATGAGACTTTCATTTTCATAATAGTGCCACAGACAAAGTTTTCCAATAGATGATGCATATCTTTCAATTTGATTTCAACTATATTGTGTGGATAGGGCATAGGAATTGTGGAAATAATTTTATTAATTGCTTAGGCCTCTTTGGGATTTTAATTGTTTACATGTCATATTTATGTTGCAATTCTCGAGGTGGTAGAGATTATTAAAAGAGTGGCTTGGAAATGGATCGATACTTTCTTTAGAGATAATGTCCTCACCTCTTGTCAAGAATGTTCCATTTTCCCCATAAGCCATAACCTAATTAAAATGTTAATGGTAAATTTAACCATTTGAATCATAATATGTTTATCGTCCAAAAATGTGTATAATTATATGTATACAGCTGGGGTGTCAAACTCAATATCATTGAGGGCTGCATCAGGATTATGTTTGACCTTGGGGGGCCAGAGTGGGCGTGGCCAACTCGACCTTGTGTCAGGGGTGCCTGTGGTGGCCCAAATGCTCTACCAGCAAAAACGGCCTCCCAAGCTCCATATTTGGCTACAATGGCCTCCTACAGCTCTCTGCCAGCGAAAACGGAGCTTGAGAGGGCCACACGCAGCCCTCCCGAGCTCTGTTTTCACTGGGAGAGGCACTGCTGGCTGGTTCTTCGCTGTTTCCAGGGCGGCCCTGTGGGCCAGATCTAAGCACCACATGGGTCGGATCTGGCCCCCAGGTCTTGAGTTTGACACTCCTGGTATAGAGATATTATACATTTACACATACATATGCTTGTTATGCATATATAAGAGCAAAGAAAAAAGGCCATAGAAAGTAATCAAGAACACATTGATCTGTATGTGACGTCATTTCTTATCTTTTAAAAATTGTATATGTGCATATTAAATGACTGAGGTTTTTTTATTTGTATCAGATCATTCAACTTGTCGAGGGCAAAGCTTCTGCTTATGTATTTGCCAGTCCTGGATGCAAGAAGTGGGATACATGTGCACCAGAGGCTATTTTGCATGCAGTTGGAGGTGAGTTAGTAAATACATTGGAGAAATAGAAACAAGATGTATAAATAATGTTAACTTAAAACCTAGTATTTTTAAAATACGTTTATATTCTTTTCAATGAAGCATATAGATATATTTATTGGCTCAAAAACAAGGAAATAAAGCACAGGAAAAGGACAGGGATAGGTGGGCGGGGCCAAATGATCACTGGAACTACCGGTTTGCCCGAACCGGTAGACAATGATTGCTCTTTTGGATTGTAATTCTTAATTGTGTGATAGTAATGGTGATTATATAGTTATGTGATAGTGATATTTTTTGTCTTTACATGTCAATAAGTATACATAAGGTGCTTAGATTTATTTTATTCATATCTGTTGACAATGACTAATTTCTAAATTTTCTAAATTTTTCAAATATAAATAAGAAAACAAAACTTGTAGATTATGCTATTAGAGAATGCTTGGGCTCTGCAACCTGTGAAAACTGTTTGGAAATAAGGACTTCAGAATCCAAAAGAACACAAAATCCTGCTCTTATCTTTTAAAATATGCTGTTATCTCTAGGTTTCTAGGAAATTCTGAAAAAAGTTGTAGGTGTTTTAAGAATCGTATTAAGAATTAATTTCTTAAAACATGTATGCTTTAAAGAAAATGAAGAAATGCTGCTCTAATGCAATCCTAAATTGTATTGACAGAGGGACACGATCAAGGGAAGTACTGATACCACTCTATAAACTAAGCCTTAGTAAGACCACACCTAGAGTACTGCATCAAGTTTTGTTCACATTATAAAAAAGATGTTGAGACTCTAGAAAAAGTACAGAGAAGAGCAACCAGGATGATTAGGGGACTGGAGGTTAAAACATACAATGAATGGTTGCAGGAACTGGGCTTGGCTAGTCTAGTAAAGAGAAGGACCAGGGGAGACATGATAGCAGTCTTCCAATATTTGAGGGGCTGCCACAGGGAGGAAGGGGTCAAGCTATTTTCTAAAGCGCCTGTAGGCCAGACAAGGAATAATGGATGGAAACTGAACCCAGGAGAGATTTAACCTGGAAATAAGGAGAAACTTTCTGACAGTGAGAACAATCAACCAACGGAACAGCTTGCCCTCAGAAGTTGTGGGAGCACCATCACTTGAGACTTTCAAGAGGAGATTGGACTGCCATTTATCAGAAATGGTGTAGGGTCTCTTGCTTGGGCGGGGGGTTGGACTAGATGATCTACAAGGTCCCTTCCAACTCTGATTATCTGTTTGAGCTGTTTGAATTGTAAGATATCTTAAGCACTACTTCAAAATAATTTTCAGAGTAAACAATCTTACAATGCATGCAGTTATTATTGCTTTTTTATGAAATGTGGTGGTATCAGGGGCTGATGTATGTATGAAAGATCTAACTTTAAACACTTTTAAGTTCAGGAGAGTTCTTCTGATCTTGATTCCAGTTTTGTGTACTAAAGCACATTAATTTTATTGTGTATTAACCCATTATGCTAAAACATAAGGAAAAACTCAAATTTAGCCAACTATAATTTGGAAAAGGAATGTTCAGTTTTAGGAACTGTTTTTAATTGTTTGTCCTTTTGTAGAAATAGATACCATATCTAAACCATTCAAATCTAGAGTCTTGTTTTTCTTTTCTTTCTTCACAGGCAAACTTACTGATATTCATGGGAACTTTTTTCATTATAATAAAGAAGTCAAACACATGAATTCAGGAGGAGTCCTTGCTACTTTAAAAAATCATGACTATTATGCCAGTCGAGTTCCTGGGGCAGTCAAAGAAGCCCTTGTGCCATAAAAATTGGAGAGGATTGTGCATTCCATTTGGGTGGAAAGAACTTTTTAGCTTAGTTGCGATTTTTGATGGGGTCATATTTTGGACCAGTTCCACGATCTTTAGTTAAGAGATTTGTTGCTTCCTCAACTTAATATACATTCTGGTAAATTTGAAATTTTAGTTTTCAGTTGGAATATTAGTGACTTCAATAAAATTGTCCAGCTTTCTTAGTGCTTATTAATATCTTATGTTTACCTATCCAATTATCAATTCCTTATTCAATATATTTCTTGATCTGAAGACAAAATAAATGAACCAGTTACTTCAAATGACTTTTGTATGCAAGCCTCACTCATATATGCATCACTTGAAGGGATCATTTTGTCTAGCTAGCTAGATCTTTTGTTTATATATACACGGATGGATGTGTGGGATTGTCAATTCTCTGCCTAATTCTCCCCTCCATTTTCACATGTTTATCTGGAAATATACCTATTAGCTTTTATATGCTGAAAAATACATTCTTGAAATAAAATTATAATCTTTGTTGATAAATTTGTGAAGTTTTTATTTGTGGATTTTGACTGCTTTGGTCTCCGTTAAGCGGGCATTTTTCCTGGTTCACTCCTGTATGTTTGACTGATAGCTCTGAACCTCAAAAACTAGCAGTTTGAATTAATGGTCCTTCCTCTGCATTGCATCTGAAACAGATGCAGCTTTCAGAAACAGCTGGTGCCAGACAAAGGTGTGGCAGAGTCTGCCCCTTTTCGTGAGTGATGTTTCTGAAGACCAAAAAGGGGCTCAGCTTTCCAATCTTTGTGAAGCTCAACAGAAGCAAACCTGGGCTTCATTCTGTTGGGTCTAATTAAGGGCTATACGAAACGTGCTTGGAAAAAACCTCGCACGCGTTCCTCAAACCCAACGTGGGAACTGCCATTGCGGCTCCTGAGAGTGGAAAAACTCCAAGTCGCGTTCGCGGTCAGGAGGGAGGCGAAAGCGGAGACGAGGCTGGCTCAGCCTTGTGACAATATGGAAGGCGGGATCGGGGCGGGACTACAGCCCGATTGGCGAAGGGGAGGGCGGTCTCGGTCCTCTCAACCGCGTCGCATTCCTTCCCGGTTGTTTCTCCTAGTGCCGCTGCTGGAATGGCGTTGAGCCTGACTGTCAACCCCGGCGATCTGCCTCTCGGTAAGGAGTTCCCGCTCCTGTTGCCCGAAATATACGCCGGTTGTGAGGCCTCAACCTCCCGACCCCGCTCCAATTCTCCCCTCCCGGCTGCCTTGCCCGGCCCAGGTGTTGCTGCCATGTTGCATCAGGCACAGTCCGCGGGAAGCCATTGGCCGACTCTTCATTCATTTCTCTTTCTCTTTCGCTAAAGCCGGTTCCTGGGTAAACGTTTCTAGATGAGGTCAAAGCGACGGGCGGAAGGCTCCTGTCACCTGGGTCGTGTGTGTGTGTGTGTGTGTGAGGGTAGGACTAACAAAAAGCAAGAGGTCGTCGGGGAGGAGGCTGAGATGATGAATCCACAAGGGCTTTTTACATTGATAGAGACG